AACTTGCCATTTGTTGTGGTTTTGGCAGTAATAGAGCGGAGTGTGTTCCCATGCGCACCGCTCATTTAAAAAGGGTGCAGCGAAGGCACTGAACTGGACGAGAGAGCAGAGAGCTCCTGAGCAGGAGGTTTCAGAGATGCAGCGCTGACGAGGAAGATGGCAGAGTCGTGAAAAGATGGCTTGGACTGTTCTGCCAGCCTGGACAAGCAGGAGACAGGCCTCGGGATAAAGGTGTAAGCAGGCATGAGTGCTCCATTCCCAAACCCCCCAGCAAGACACTTAGCAAGTTCCTCTACACTGCATTTCCCCTTCTTCCTCATCCCAACAAATTCTGCTAAGCCGCATTCACACAGGCACGGGAGAATGAGAATTTAAATGCAGGAGTTGGTTCTTGAGGTCACTGCCACCAGAAAGCAATTACAGGGGTCTGCCATAAGTGAGTGCCACCTTTGGCTTTGCTCTCCACTAAAGCTGCGGGGCTAAGCCCTAAGTAACAATCAAATCTAAATAAATAGGCTCAAGGAAAAGCATACAGAGAACAGCAATAAGGACAGCTGAAGAGTGAATGAGATGGGGCCATGGGACCTTCAAAATGTTTGCACTGCTGTCAGGAAGCTGAATGAAACAGCAGACTTCAACAGCTGGGAAAACATGTTGCAAAACAAGGAGAATTAAGTAATTCTCCATATGCACGTCCTACTCTAAGGCATTTTGGACAAGCTCAGTTTCTCCAACCGGAGCCATTTTTTTTTTTTCCATGTTGCACACACACCCTGCCAGTGACAAATCTTGATATAGTTTAAGCCTAAAACTGCAGCACATCTGGAGTCAGGCAGGGCAGCTCCAGGCAGCAACGGGCCAGCCTCTACCACAGAAGTAATGGGCCCTGTGGTATGTGTCGGATGACATCCTTGGGAGGCTATGTCATCCTGAACACATCCTGGGCTGCTGGGTACTTGGTTACACAAACATTTCCCTTTGCACCCTATAAAACACTTGTAACTGGGTCATCAGTGGCTGGGGCTGCATCGTTACCCACCTCTGAATCACAAGCAGCTGTGTGCCCCATCACTGCACCATGTACAGAGATCACAGGCATTGCAGTACATCTCCCAGCTCCTGATGTAATTTTAAGTCTTGCTGCTCATGCAACAATTTCAGCAAGGCCACTCACACCAAAGTTGTTGCACACCCTAAAACACGACTTACGCTTATTAGCATAGGTCGTGGATGCAGTGTTATCACCCTGCTAAGAGAAGCCATGTTCAGACACAGCTTGCTAGGCAGAGCTCTGTACAAGCTTAAACTTGTCTCACTTCCAACAGAAAATGAAGGTTAAAAGCAGCTGGGAGCATCTGTTCTCAGCCAGCACCTAGAAATCAATCCTGAGACATTCTAGCAGCTTAAAAAGAAGTTCTCTAAAATACCACAACAGTCCTGCAAATTAAACGTACACACAAGGATAGCTGTGGCCAGAGAACCTAACCTGATGATGAAAAGGCAAAAAAGTGAAGATTTTATCCACATGACACAGGCACATCAATGGTTATTTTTCCAGCATGACAGTTCAGATGGCCAGCAGGCAAACCCAGGCCCTAAAGAGCCTCACTAATAGGATGCACTAAGGAGCCCTGAGCAAGAGGGGCAGCTGCCCAGCCCGAGGGCAATGCAGTTTAGCACCATGCAGCCATACCCATCACCTCTTTCCATCCAGCCAGCACCGAGGCAGATAACAACTGTCCAATAAAGTAACAAAAATTTGAAGCTATGCCAAGAAGTTTTAAGGAAAAGTCTTGGAAACGCATGTCCCTGCAATGTGGCCTAGCTACAAAATGAGCGTTGAGGGTTTCGAGCTCCCGGCACCGGAGGGACAGCGCGGCTCCGTGCATGCATTATTTCCATGGCAACAGCAGCTTTCACCTCCCCATCTCTTCCCTGGCTGAAAGCCCTGCAGTGCTTTGTGCTGAGACTGCAAAGAGGGGAGACGATCGCAACACGGCGCCGGGGATGGCAGCGAGCAGCCCAGGAACAAAAGCCTTGTTGGTGAAAACAATGTGGGATCTTGGGAGGAGGGAGGCAAGGCAGAAAGGATGGACTTCCTTTTCTGGTGGGAAAAAGTACTTCCCCCAATGTGCAAAAGTGCACTCTCACTTCTCAGTGCTGCACAAGTTAACAAGCAACATGTGCCTTTCCTAGTTTTACCAGAACTGCCAGCTTTGGTTTGCTGTGTCAGAGCACAGGGAAGAGAAACACGCATCGTTAGAGATGAGAAATTCAAGTGCTGCTTCCATGTAGGGATCCCTGCGGAGAATAAGGTGGAGGTTGACCAAGCAGGCTGGAAAACCCTCCTGTCACTGGGAAGCCTGGCTCCATGTGCGGTCAGTGAGCTGTTATAGAGCAAAACCTCAAAACTCAAGACAGGTCTGAGCAAAAGCTGCCTCTCCCCCAGCACCAGCTCAGACTGCCGACACGCACACAGGAGAATGCATCCGTAGGGTGGCTTGGGCAACATTTTTCCTTGGCTAATCAAGCTTTTCCTCCACCTTGTAGTTCATATTAAGTAGTAGTAGTATCGTATTAAGATTCAAGCCCTGGCCACCTAACTAGGAGCCAAACTTCACGCCACACAGCTGGAGCCACAGCAGCCCTGGCAGATGGTGCAGGCTCAGCTGTATGCTCTCAGTGCAGCCATTCAGTCTCCGAAAGCAACTGGGAACTGCCCATTGCTCAGGTTACCGTTAGCCACGTTTTGGTCACTTCAAGGTGCAAATGACTGGAACTACAGAGAGATGCACAAGCAGTGATGTGGGTATGCCCAGAGGTGCTCTTATTATTGAGCCCAACATACATATATACATGCAAAATGAAGGCTTCCAGCTGGTTCCCATCACTTACTTTACAATACATCCATAGCCAGCCCAAATAGGAACTGACCTCAACGCAAGATTTAGAGGAAAGCCTGAGAGTATCAACATGAACTCTCAAAGCAAGACAAAGGATCCAGGTGAGGGAGCACAGAAAAACAACAGGTCCACCATCTGGTCCTTCTCTCCCCACCCTTGAAGAGCCCTGAGGTTTCAGGAGAGGCGCATTTTGACCTTTCCCTTTCCACACCTCCCCTGGCTTTAGGTTCAGCTGTGCAAGCACGGTCCTTCCAACCAGAGAGGGACTCCTTCCAGGATCAGTCATCACCATCACCAAGGCTGCCAGAGGCACTGCTAGCAAAGCCAATGCATCCTCTCCAACCTCAGTAGAGTTCCCTAGATTAGCCCTTTCCTCCCTAAGGGCAACAGTTTCCTGCAAGTAAGAGCATTAACTGAAATTATTAATTCTGGAGAGAGACAAGATAGCAGGAATATGAAGAACCACTGCAGTTGCTGCTATGAGACAGCACCACATCCTGCTATCTGAATTCCTCACCCTTGATTTCAAATCCTGAAGTCGTTCAAGACTTCTAAGAAGAGCAAAGCTACTCAGCAGATTTTCAGCTAATGAATCAACACAAGCTGTCCAGGAAACTACAAATCCAGCCCACTGGAATGCTGCAACCCCAGGGAGGGGGGGAACAGGCAGTGAGCTAGGAAGGAAATGAAACAGTGAACCAGAAGGAAAGGAACATTTCAGCACTGAGCCCTCTTACCACAGTTACTGTGCCACATTACACATTTTAGGAAAAAAGCACAATTTCAATTTGTTTTGCACACTGAAGCGTTCATGTTCTTCAAGCCTGAATTTTGTTCTGTGGTGCTGACATATGTACATTTTGAAAACAACTCCGTTTAAAAAAAAAAAAAAAAATTTAAACATGAATCAACATTGCCACCTAGTGACCAGCAAACCTCTTCACTCATGACACCTGGATGATCCCTCAGAATCACATTTCCTTCCCAAATGCTAGAGGTGGATGTTAGCAAAACATATCTGGAGATCAGAGTTGTAGAACAGAATTGTGCATCTTTCATAAGCACCTTTCCCCTGCCAGTAAATTCAATTTTCACTACAGAATGCAAAGCTCACCGTTGGCAACTTCAATTGTTTCAAACAACAGAATTTGATGCCCTGTTACTTTCTCAATACAGGCAAATGGTCATACAATGTCAAAATGAGAACCCAAAGCTATGGCAACTATAAGCATAAGGTTAATGCACTCAAGAGGAATTTCTGTGATTAGCAGAAATCTCTGCTAGGGGACAGGCAGTTCCCCGAATATTGCACGAGATTTCATTGTTGTGGCTAAAGTTTCGCAAGATGCCTCCTAGCTTCCGTGCTAAACACTGATACTGTACTGGCCTTGGCTCACTGGCACCAGATATAAGTAGGGTTCTGCACACATTCAGGAGACTGGGAACAACATTTCTATGCTTCCATTTTTCCACAGAACAGATGGTGCAGAAGCAGCAAGTTTTCCTCACGCCATCTCCCCATCGGGCCTGACGATTCTCCCGTTATGGCTATTAGCAAACTTTGAGAGAAGTACAAAGATCTTCTGCCCTTTGAATGGCTCACATTTCAGTGAGCTCTTCCAACAAGTTTTTTTTTGCCACTTCCAAATGAACCTCTATTGAGGCAGCAGCATAAAAAAAAAATGCAGATGCTAATTCTCTCAAGGACAGCACATAAGGTTGTTTCAGCTCGTTCTCCAGGAGTTTCATGAGCTAAAGGATTACAGTTTGGTTTTTTGCCTTTTAAACACCCAGCTCCCTGTTCACCTAAAACACTTCTGTATATGCAAGGCAGCAACCTATGGCATCCATAAGCTTTTTTAGCCAACATCTTCCAAAGAAAGAAAAGAATACTGCTGTCTTTATCAACAGTGCCCTGGAATTCATCTGTCCAGCCACACACTTTTATAGAACATCAGTAGGATCCAGCAAATACTTTGACTGCTGCCCCATGCGTGAGATATTCATTCACCTGCTACTAGGAAGTGTGAGTTGTCCTCCCAGCTCTCCTGCCCAACACTCCAGAAGAGACCAAATGGCAAAGTATCCCCCAATTACCTTTCTGCAGCGGGGATTAGGGCAGCTGAACCGCTTCACATCACTGTCCAGTAGAGCTGGGAAGTTACAGAATGGACACCTGCAGCCCAAAGTAAGATGCCATTAATGCAGAGTGCCAAACATATGGTTTGCCGAAAGCAGATTTAGTCAAATAGCTTTGTGGTAGTTAATAACACTGCCAACCAAACGCCTGCTGCCAGGATGTGCTGACTACTGCCTTTTTGCTCATATTTCTTCGATCACTTCCCTGTTTGCAATCAAAATATTATATACTCAGCACTGCTTTTGACCATGTAATTTAGAGGATCAGCACAGAGCTGGCAAGTAAGTCTTGGGGGAGACAAGTCTATTGAATTTTAGTCTGCTCCCAGTCAAAGACAGACCAACCTGAATAAAAACAGACGTGGGAAGGCAGAAGACTGAATTTATAATACAGCTCTTTGAAAGCTACCTACCTCACAGTCAGCATGGATTTAGTTTCAGGGAACAATTTGCTACAACAGTAAGTGCAGCCTGCATCCTCTGCTGGACACTTACCTGACAAGCTCATCTGCACAGGCAGCAGCCACCTCCTCCTCAGCTTTCCGCTCATAGTACTTACAGAGGATGTTCTCTGGAAGCACTTTCTCCAGCTCGCTGGTGGGGAATGAACACGTGCAACTGCCTTCCATGCAGCTGAGCTCTGACTAGGGTTGGAAGGAGAGAGCTCAGGTTCAGTACAATACTAGCAAAAAGCAAGACTCGGTACCCACAACATTTCAAAATAAACTGGTGCAGAGCCTTAAGCAAGCAGATGACTGCCAGAGAATGTGTTTGCTATGAAAAGAACAAGACTAGTTAAACAAATCAGGCCTCAAACAAACACTGGGCATGAAGATGCTGTTGACAGCTGGGATCAAAGTTCACTCACTCCAAGCCCACTGTGACCACAGAGCAGCCCACTATTACTGTACGGTCTCTGTTGAGAACTAGCACTCTGCTCATGAACAGCATGTTGTCAATATGGTCACGTAAAACACAGCTGCCAGTTCATACGCTTACATGAAATCTAGATCTCAGAGTACAAAAGCACCCCACAGTTTGCTCATCATAGCTCAAGGCAAAGGAGCAAGCACACCTCAGAGCAGGTTAATGACTTGTTTATAGCTCAGCTAAGGACTAGGGTAATTGCTAGCTAAATTGGAGACTAACGTTAGTAGTAACATAGGGGAAGCAACCCCCAAATTAAGTTGGGATCACAGCGATATTATGAAGGACAAGTACTCTTAGCTAGGAGGAGACTGGCCAAGACAGAGATAAGAGTGTGCTCTCTGTGCAGACACCACTGGTTTATTAAGTAGAAAATAAAAACCAGATGAGTGCAAGTTGTTGTTACTATGAATGCTGTAGAAAGTTTTCCTAATAATCCAAGTTGCTAAGCATAGAGCACAAAAGATGGAGGTTAGCAAAATTGAAATGCTATTCAGCAAAGATCCCACTGTGAAGCTGTTGGCTTCACTTGATGGTGAGAGTGACTTCTTGGATTTGGATTTCAGGACACAATTCCACTCAAATATTTCCTAGGAAGTGCGGTTACATCTGATTTAAGCAACAACAGAACGCAAACAGCAGTGTGATCTCCCAGTAACAATTCACCCATTTTCCCCTGATCCAGTTGGGAAATTCTTACCTTCCCAGAGCCAAAGACTGCCTCCTGAGCATATTTAATTAGGCACTCCTTGCAAAACAAGTGACCATCTGCACACTGAGTTAGCTCTTCAAACGCAAACTCCCCATAACAACAGCGGCACTCTATCATCTGACCATCCTGCAGCCATAAACAGAGGTATTAGAGTCATCATCAAAACATCAATAGCTATAGCAACATACAGACACATACAACTGCAAGCCATAAACAATGCCAGCACTAATTCTAAAAGAGAAACAGATATACACCATTCCATTAGATTTCTTACTTGGTGGTCCAAATTGACTAACCACAAACAGAAACTCAGTTTTAAGTAACTTAATACCTATACGTCCTGCTTGACAGGTTCCAAAAAGCTACAGAACACATCGTGTTTAATAATTCCTAGCTCACAGGCAGAGAGGCATCTTGGGCTCGGGAAGCTGCAGTCACAGGGAAGCAGCAGGGAATACACACCATTCGTATGGGGAAGACCAGGCTTCAGATCTGTTGCCCTCAAAAGGAACATTTACCCATCTGCCTGGAGACACTTTGTCTTGGCCTCTTCACTGCAGGGGTGGAGAAGCTTGCCCCTGTTAGAAAGTAAGTATGCCCGCTTCTTCAAAGGTCCAACATCTTTGCCAAAGTTTGAAGAGAAATGGGCACTGAGAACAAAAAGTTAACCCACAGCCGCTGAACTGATCTCTAACTTCTCTCTGTTTAAAGGGAAAGACCTGATTTTCAGGTTTTTAAAGAGTTCTTTCTGCAAATAAGGAAGGCATTTCCACTGGCAGAGCTCCAACAACAGCAAATCTGTTTTAAGCAGCCATAATGGTGGTAGCAAGAGCAAACCTGGTACTATTCTATTGCCATGTTTGCTCTGTCCAGTAAAGATACAGCAGCAGCTGACTGAATTACTACAGATCATTACATGCATCAATACTGTCTTGCTGGACTCAGCTCTTGCCTACCTTTTCTAAAAGCCAAACACACACTATGCAGGTTTTGCCAGCTCAGCAAAAGCAGCACAGTGCAAATGCAGCTTCAGAAAAGCTCCATTCCAGAAGCCAAGAGTCTGTGAAGTAGTAAGTGCAAAACAGTGTCTATGCATAAGCTGAACTCGACAGACCACATTATAGATACTGACCTTCTGATACTGCTCCTCATTCATCTGCAGAGCAAGGAGAAAGTCTGCATGCTGTAAGAGAGACATATGCATCTGTATTTACAGAATAAAGCAATTTTCCAGCCTCTACACTCTCCTACATTATCTCAGGACTTACAAACCACCATAAAAGGCTCACTGTCTTCTTAGAACATCACTCAGCCCATCCTTCCAATCCATTAAGCTATTTATGATTCAGCGAAAACAGATGGGAGAAGCAAAGGCAGCAAGAACAAAGAACTGAATGCTATATTATGAAGGGCTGCTGGTTCAGGTTTCCATAGGCAGAGATGATCTCACCCAATGGGCCCCTCCAGAGAAAGCCCCAAGGAACATTAGCTTTGTGTTTAAAATGAGACACTATCCATCTGCCTAAGTGATGAGGATCTTTAAGAAGCTACTGCAGAAAGGACTGTGGGTGCAGAGCTGCGAATTCACTCTTTCCTCAGACTAGGAAGGGAACACAACACACCAGTGGGTGTTGCAGGGTTCTGCTTCGAAACACATGGTCCTCTGCACAGGACAAGACGTTCTGGAGACACAGGACTGCCAACTTGTGGAAGGCAGAGTGAGTGGACAGACTGCCTTGGGCCTGGTCATTATTCACCACAAACACTGAGCTATCATTCTAAGCCCTAAAGGAGCAGAAGAGAAGCCTGCTAGCAATTAGAGGAAAGATTTAACTAGTAGAGCTTTTACTACTTTGTAGCAAAAGAGGTCCAGAACAGTGTTTTCAAAATTAGCAGCTATATATTTAAGTAAATATGAAACTCTGTGCTTGGCTTTTTTTCCTCCAAAAATTAGTTACCAGGGAAAAGTCATACATGTTAACAGGTAGTAAAGGGGCAAAAGTAGTCAGTTATTCAGTATTTTGTTCAGTGGCTGATATTCGCTAAGAGACAGATTTCCCTGTTTAGGGCCAAGGTCTCTACAGTAGTTGAAGTCATTTACACCGCAAGATCAAATCAGCTCCTACTACTCACCTCTGCCATCTCCTTAACTTTCTGCTCATAGAATTCCTGCTCCAGTAGCACCGGTGGGAGAAGAGAGAGCTTGTCATACGACCTCCAGTGCCGTCTCTTATTCTCCAGGAAGAACATGCGTTTCTCAATTTTCACATCTCCTAAAGCAGAATTAAAGGCACAATGAAATGGGATTGAGCAGCCAGAACAAAGCTTAAATCCTTCTTCCCCTACCACTACCAGCTGCATAACCTCAGCATCTCAAACAGCACTGTACCAAGCTGGGGTACTAATGAAGAATATCTCCCAAATAAGACAGTGACAGAAATATAGGTGGTTTGGGACCACATCCCTTTTCAAGAACAGTACTTTCTGCTGCAAGACAGTTCTGCTTACTATAACGATGCAGAGAGCACAATACATACAGGTTGGTAATTACCTTGCTCAAATTTGAAGTCTATATAGGAATACTGATTCATTTCTTTCCTCCTTTTTCGTTTCCCACTGGTTTCGGGAGACAGCTCCTGCCATTTTTTGATAGCATCTGAAAAGGCCTAGAAAATAACATACAGACTTAAATCCTGTCTGTTCCTGGAAAAAAGCAGAAGCACATACTTCAAATCAAAGCACAACACAAACATATGCATAAGACTGATCCAAAACTGGAAAGCCAAACATCGCGCATGGAGGCAAGCATACCTCTTTCCTTTGCTCACCTTGTTGCTTTATATACTCATAAAGCAATCATTCCATCAAAACAAAACAGTTGAACAATACTTCACAAGACCTCAGCTATTAACTCTAATACAGCTGGTGTCCACCCTGATGCAACAGAGGTGGTGTGGCTTTTTTTTGTTGTTGGGTTTGGTTTTTTATTTAAAAAAATCCCCAAAGCTCAAATACTCAGTGCTCACTCAAGAAAGTGAAAAGGAGTTTTTGTTTTAGTTAAGTCCTAAAATAGTAAAGCAGCTCAAGTAAGAGGAGCATGTCAGAGGAGTAGATCCAAGTCAAAAGCTCGAAGCCACATTTACATTCAGTCTGTTGATACTTAAAACAAATGTCTCCGCAGATCCATTACAGTGAAACTCTTTTATGAGGAATACAGGACTCATTCCACAAGTCGTAATAAGAAGAAACAGGACAGTGAGACTTGGGCTTTTTTTCAATTACATGCAGTCAGTTAACTAATAGCAGCAGTTAAATGTCTTAAGATTTAGCTAAATGTCTAGGCTTTATTGGCAATTATACTGCACTTCAGTGGCAATGTACAGGAATGCTTCTCAGTTTAATGCATCACCCACCATCAACTAGCTAGCGTTTCCCCAGTTCTCCTATTAGAGAAAAGTGAAAACTTCCCACAGTGTTCTGTCTAGTCAATAAATTTTGCAAATCTGTACTAAATGGATTAATACTTCTTAAAAGGAAAGGAAGATTATTTAAAAAGCCCATAACCACACACTAGCAGATGGTATAGTAAGACAAAAGACATTGCACTGCTCTCCACAGACACAGGAGATAACCCGAGGAAAGAAAACAGACTTGAACTGGAGAACCTTTCGCGTGATTGCATAGTGTCCCTTGAGTTCATGTAGTGCCCACTTAATGTCTTGGCTGCTCAACATTTTGAAGTCTGCCATAAGGAGGTCAGCTGCCTGAATAAAGCACCGTTGATCAAGTGGGGCAAGTTTGGAAAAGTCAAAGTAGTCCACTTTAGGCACCTAAGGAGAAAATACAAAAGATGTAAAAAGGCTGCTATAAATACACACAAGAACACCCCAAGCCACTCTTTCAGTGATCAGGACCTTCTGCAAGACCACCCAAAATTCAGGTTACATGGCACTCGGTTCTAAGCACCTATCTAACCATCAGCTTAGAGCACAGCACGGGTGTGAGGCCTACTGATCTCTGCACTTGCGTGAGTAACCTGCCCTGAGCTGCACCACGCTGCGGCTCTGCTCCTGGCAGGACACACACCACGTCGTTTAAAGCCACTGTGCGTGGCTGCAGGATACAGCGAGGAGAGCATACCTTTAGGTTGCTATAAAGGGCGAACAGCTTCATCAGCTCAAGGTTGAGAGTAGAGCCTCCAAGAGCAGAAAGAGATATTCAACACCTCTCTCAGGCCACACACAGCTATTTCAACATACTCAAAGCAGCTCAGAGAATTTTTTGCCAAATGGACTTTAAAAAAAAAAAAAAAAAAAAGGCAAAATCAAGAAGCTGTAGGGACATCTGCAGTTAGGAGGCTGAAAGGCAATGCCTAAAGCCCACACAAGAGAGACCTGAGGGTCAAGTCTACTTGATGTGACAGAGTGGCTATGGAATTCTTGTATCAGTTATCAAAATGAACATTTCAGATGGGGTAGGCAGGGCAGAGGGTCCTGCTGAAGGCAAAAGAATGGACACAGTGCAGCTATGCAACAGCAAAACAGGAAAGTCTTGGAAGTCATCTTGCAAGCAACTAACTATTGCTATTTAATGCCATTTTAAATGTAACCAGAGGCCTCCTGTGAAAGTATCAGTCAACCAAGCCCTCTACAAATACGCACTAATAGAACCAGACATCCCAAGGTCCACTCAGGTTGAACAGACTAGATGAGAGACATGCTGCAGATGAGGATACTCTCACTTGCCTTTGTCTCGTCTTGGCTGGCAAGCAGGCTGCTGTTGGGATTTAAAACCACTCTGCCTTCCTTCTTTGGGTAATCTGGATTTTCTAGAAGAAAGTTACAAAGTCTGCAAAGATAAATATAGTTACTTCAGGGTTTGGGAGCTCAGGTTCATTCCTCACTTGTCCCATTTTTAGTATCCTATAATTAAGAGGCTGGGCAGGCGAGTCACAGCCTGCCCAGTAAGAACCAAGACAGGTCTCAGACTAGAGCAAACTGAAAGTAAATGACTGAGAATTAAGTAAAGAATTATCAGCTATATGACTGCAGAAGGAAAAGCAAATAGGTCTGTCTTCCAATAACTACATTTACGTCAGAGTGAAGCTTGTATGGGTACTAAGCAACCTACATCTCTCCATGCCAGAGGTGAGCAATCAGGCTTATTTTGCCTCTCACATCCATGGGTAAAACCATGTAAAGCAGTACCTCCTTTGAGCACATATCCAATCCTACACGACTAAAAGTTGAGGTTACTTTCTGCTACTCTGGAGTTAACAGTATGAAGACCATATAAGAATGAACGTTCACAACATTAGCAGCGTTAATTGAAATCTAGCTGTCATCTACTGTGGCAAATACATCTACAAATGCATCTATGGAAAAAGAAGCATACAAACCCCTACACAACCCCTGAAAGGTTGATGTCTTCTCTCCACAAAAGTTTACAGATTCAGATTTGAATTAAAGCCTCCACTTTCGTATCAGAGCAGAGACAGAAGCATGTTTACACTGTGTTTACATGCAGTATGTATTCTGAACACAGGTTTCAGTGTAATAAAGCTTGAAATCACACCAGCATTGTCCAACTCCCACTTGATACTGGTCTAGTGAGAACAGCATTTAGAAAATAATCACTAAAAACTGCTGAAAAAAATGCATACTGGCCTGTAAATGCAGCATACCCGAGGTCCTATCACAAACAATCATAACTGTCAGGTACGTTTAGTTTAACTGAGTCTTTCAGCTTAGAAAAGAGTCTAGCGAGAAGTTTCAGAATACCCCATTGCCAGAGTCCCACAAATACTTCAGAAGCCTTTTCAAAGGGAAGCTTGCTGTAAGCTCTCTGCCTGAATCAGACTTTCACAGCTTATTCTCAACCATCACCAACCAGCTGGGTCAAATAACATAAGCTGTTCCTCAGTTTCCCCAACTGTAGAATAATATCCTTCTGAAAGGAGCTAGGATAAGCAATTAACATTTATAAAACTTTTTGAACCAGAAGGTGCTAGGTTGCAGCAAAGACATAATTGCAGCTAATTTACATTCCTGATGTCAGAAATCAGTCCCTAATTAAGAAATCCGAACTGGCTTGAAGCATTAACCCACTATCAAGGCATGATTACTTTAGCCCTGTTTTCACATTCAAAGCAGAGGCATTTCTTTTTGTTTAATCAGGTATTGACATATTGAGCCAGAAGCTTTTGACTGAGTGTGAATGCTTCTGCACACAAAAGCTGAATAGATGATACCCTGCTAAGAGGAGCTCCCACATCTTATCTTTCACATCACTTGAAAGTTTTAAGACGATCATTTTGGAAAACAACAAAATATCTTGGCACCGAGCATTTAATAGCTTCTAGCCCTCCCCCCCGGCCCGCCATCCCTTTTACAAAAGATAACTGTTTTAATCCAACAAAACAGCAACTTCAAGGAGCTCAAATCACTGCAGCTCAAACCCAAGGGTTTCAGCTGGGGCACAGTCAGAATACATCTGAACTGTTCTGCATGTTGCTATTTCAATACTCAGGATTTTCAGAGATGTTAACCTTCAATGTCTGACAATTAGTTAAGTGGGTCCCAGCGCGCAATGCACGCACACTTGCAGCACTGTTCATTAATATCTGCACCACAGGACACAGAGCCAGTTAAAAGCCTCATCCCTGCCCAAACCCAGCCACCCTTATTTATTATATTTCAAGCCTGATTCAGCTTGACATACCATGGAGATCAAAGAGACCCTGCCAGCGAGGCTGACCAGTGCTTTGACCCATTTGTTCTCATACAAAAGATGCAGTGACAATTCAAAAGATAGTTTGGTTAAAGGAATAAAAATATGGAGAAGAAATCTTTATCATGCAGTAAGTGGGTAACGCACCACTGAGCAGACACTGTAGATGGCCTACAGGGAAGCCTGTAAGCACCTTTTCATCTCACTGGGTCTGTGGCACACAATGGGAGAGAAGAGATTTTGGGAGCAAAAGGGGAAGGAACACATTAAGACTGATAGAAGCCAATGCTGGGATTTAATACTGTCAGGCTTCGTTAAATCCCTGCAGGACACAATAATGAGTTTTTTCACATAATTTGTGAGAGGATCCTGCAGCCAGATGCCTAATTCCAGCAGCCCGATCACCCCAAGGAATAGCCCTGCTGGTCTTCTGCACTCCCAACACAACCGTCCACGCCGAGGTGCACCAAGTATGCGGTGCAGGCACCTGAAAGCTTCTCTCATGCTGACCGTGCCACTGCTGCAGGGAAAGCACTTTTGAAAGACAAGAAAGGAGTTACAGTCTGATGACTTTCTAACCAAGAAGTCCTACTTTGGAGACACGACTTCACAACACAGGCAAAGGCAGGAGAATAGGAAATCTCTGCCCAATGGATGGGATCATCCTTAGTTCCTTGCCAGTTAACTTATTTACGATCCAATAACTAATTCTAAGCCTCACGCACTTAAATACCGCTTAATTAGCGCCCTAGTTAACTGGAAAGGGCATTGGATTCATACAAGATAGAGTGAATACTCTGGCAACCAACACCTATTATTCATTCTTGTATCACATAATAACTAGTTTCAACATGTTTGAGATAGCAGTGACAGCTGCAGAGAGAGAGAAAGAGAGAGGGGCCACCTAGCATCAGACACCAGTCACAAGTGATTTACTTCAAACCATTCTCCCCTCTGTGTTGCTGGTGCCAACACACGCAATCCTTCGCTCTTCAGCTGCGCAAGCTTTACCCAAAAGGGTAGGGAGATGATGCAACTTATCGATAATGTTAATGACTTTTTTTCAACTTTTGATTCTAACACGACTCCCAGAGATATCAAGCATGACGAACGCTAAGGTATTTGTGAGCTGTTAACACAACTGAGAACGCAACAGCTCTCATGCTGATTCTCCACTTCTTTTATTTCCCTTCTCGGCTCACGTTTCTGCTCCGTTTGACCAAAATCAATCCCTCAACAGATATCTAGAGTCAATCCTACCAGCCCTTAAATGTGTTTGCTCTACTCAATCTGCAAAAAGTGATGTGAGAGAACTCAAACAGTACCATTGCTACTTGATTAAAGGGGATAAAAGCCAACATACTGACACTAAATAAGGAAGTCCAAAACAGTGTCAGTTTTATCTGGAAAAATCCAAAAGTCCGTGAAATGAGGAGGTAGGAAACTGTTTTCTCCAACTCAAAACTCACCAACCCACCTTTGTACCATGTTTTATACAAGTCATCTCAACACCTTAATCTTGACACCCTTTTTAAGAACTCTAGTAATAGTTAAGAGGAAATGATATGTAATATCTTCAAATAAGCAAAAGATCTTAAAAGCAGAGAATCTACAGCACAACATCAAAATTAGAGAAGATTTAAGAAAAGCTCTATTAGAAGGGAAAAAAAAGAATCATTCTCTGCTCTTTGGCATTATCAATGCAGTGCTGACTCCCAGGCCTGGATATATTCTAGAACAGCATCATTAGAAGGTGGGGTAACGGAAATGTGACTGCAGCCAGACTGTTGTATGATACACCCTGGCTCCTAGCTCTATACTTACACATTTAAGTCATAGCAGTCCTTGATGCTGATTAGCTCTTCAATATATTCCTTCTTCACATCTGGGAATCTTGCTTCCTACAGTAGGAAAAGCTAAAGGTTACGTAGGTATTAGCGGAGCTGTGTAGCACAACCTAGCAACAGCATGCAAGACAGAGATTTATAGGTAATTATCTAACACGCTCCTGAGACAAGGGCCAAAATGAATTTCAAGAGACCATTTATATCCATCCAGCCCAGGTATTGCAAGCTGCTGGCCTTCCTTTGCTCCACAGGATGACTGCTAACAGCTCTTTCTCACAAGAGTATGGGTAGTGATGTGAATGGCCACGAGCAGCTGGCCTAACGAGTGATTCAGGCGAGATGGAAAGAGGAGAGGCACGTACGTATGATCTACAACACAAGAAAAGCTAATATTTACCTTCAGACAGAAGATTAAGGAGTTCCAGACTGTGTACTGAAATACAACATTCCAACGTAAAAGGGAAAAACCCAACAATATGTATACCCACCCAAAGCACCCAGACACACTAGTAACAAGATCAGAACAGACAACAAACCTTTACTGGCATTTCTGTGAAAGCTCTCCCGGCATTAGCCACGTAACAAAGAGCACCCTTTGCTGCTCTCTCTTGTTGGGTTTCTGTACAGGTATTGCAATCGATTGCACCATACAGTATTTTGCTTTACAAGACTGTACTGGTCAGGGTTGTTAAGCAACCCTGACAATGCAAGAGTATCTACTTACCCATCTTGAAGCAAGTCACTGATCAGCAAGGTCTTACTTGGAACAAATTGAATTTTGTTGGACTACTACTTAAAGAATATTTTCCTCAACCCCAGTTCTCCCAAATAGAATCAGACACGGGATGCGGAGGGAAGGCTTGGAGGGGGTGGGGGTAGTGGTGTAGAATACAGAGGCAGCAAAATATGTATTCCATAAGGCATCAAGAGAGACCCTTCCTCCCTACCAATCAGGGGGAAGAGTGTACACTGGAGAAGAAAACATTAGACATGTGAACCATCACCACGTTTGGTTTGGTTTTTAAACATACACCATGTTGCCCAAGCTGCTGAATATGCCAGAGGTTAAGCAGTACCCTTCTTGGTGATTCAGGTCTTGTAGCTAGTGCCCCTCATGCTAAGCTTCACACGCAGAGTCGGAAAGTGTGAAGTTAACATACACGAGTCTTCATGCTGCTTATCCAGTAATCCCACAGTGCTACTGCTTGGAAATCCACACCGCAAGGGCAACCGTTACCACCGACCACCACGGTGGCCTTAACACAGCCATGGACCAAACTACTTTAAGAGAGCCAGCTGAAAGCCGCCATGGCTCTCAGCCATATGTCTCTAAGCCTTCTCTACTCCATCCTCTATCCCTCTGCCAGTGTTTAGTCTCAGTTTCACTCCTTCAGCTCGACACATCCTTTCCTAAACCAGCTCTACACAGTTGGGTTAGGAATCAGCCAGACAAAAATAAACCAACAGAACTGAGAGGGTGGTAGCCTTCAAGGCAACAGACTCCTGTTATTTGACCTCACTGTGCCCTTGAGACCCTGCAATCAGTTCTGCTAAATCTCTCTGGCCAAGAGCCCACCCCAAAGCAAACAGTGCCCTCAAGATTCACATCCTCTCACCACTTCTGCCACAGTGCCGGCGTTAGTCTTTCAAACCAAAGTTTTCCACGACAGTTCACTGCATGCTCCTCACATGGTACATAGCCAAGTCTCGGCCAAAACGAAGAGGATTTGCAGCTGAAGTCAATAGGGATGTGCTCTGAGCACGTGAAACACTGCACACCTCGAAAAACCTGTCTGAAACTAACATGCACACAGAAGGCAAACAAGCCCTGGGAATACTTACTGTCTCTCTGATAAGCAGTGCAGTGAGATCTTGGTCCTGCTCAGCAGCATCTTGTTCTGGCACATTACTAGAGCTAAATTCGTGAGATCCCTGTGCGGGGAATGCTGGACCTGGCTGTTCATTGTCTATCACTACCTGCTGACCCATTTCTTCTGGTGGATGTGCTGGCTGGGGCGAAGCGGGACCTGGAATCCCATCCTGCTGTGGTTCAGGACGGGGGAAGGCTGGCCCAGGAGCCTCCTCTCCATATGCCCTTAAAGACCCTGGCTCTGCTTCAGGCTGCCCTTGCTGAGGAGCACAACCATTTGCTACAGCATGTGGCTCGCCTTCCAAGGGCTGGAAGTGTGGGTGATCTAGCTGGTTGTTCTCATGGATCTCCTGATCTGTGGTAGCTACAGCAGCTGTTCCTCCAAGGTTTTGCTCTGGCTTCAAGTCCTCTCCTTGCCACACCTGGGCTGCTACCTTTTCTTCCTGTTGTGGTGGAAGCTCTGTATTCTCCACACTAGTGATTTCTCCGTTGACAACAGGCTCTGGACTTGTCTTTATTGCTGGAAGCAAACTTGGGCCGGGCTCTTGGTTACTTGTAGGTTCAAACCTGGGGCCATTAAGCTCAGATGGTCCAGGCTGCTGCAAGGCAAAGTTCATATTCCCATTCTTGCTTGGTCCAGCACTGCTCTCCACCATCTGATTATACTGGTCTCTCTGGCACAGCAGAGTTGAGATCTCATTTTGCAGATATATGCTCCTCAATGGCTTGACAGCACTTTTAGATCCTCCTTCTCCCACAGTGTTTGCATCCTGCCATTGAGCAGCAGGTCTGATGACATTGGGACGCAGAAGCTGCTGATGCTTTGGGGTCTAAAGAAGACAGACAAGAGTAAGTAGGAGATCTTGTCAGCATGTCAGAATCCTTGCTCCAGATGACCTTTTGCATTTACTAATCAAATTTCTGATGGGAACCAGATGAAAAGTCTGTTTAGCAAGGTGTGTAATAAGGCATAAAACTGCAACCCACATATCCTCAGTCTGTCCCCTGGTGCTAAAAGAACATTTGGCAGAATTGGGGATGCACAGAACTTGCAGACTGGAATAATCTCCTAAATTCACCTCAGCCCCCACTTCCCTCCCAGTAAAATAGTCTAGGAAGGAGGAACAAGATGATGGCGTATTTGCATTCTCACCATTCATTTGAACAGGCAGGAACCAAAGCTCAAAGAACTAACCTGTAGCCTTGTTCTTGCCTCTGGCAGATAGACTGCTGTGTGCCAACAGAGTCTAAATGTTCTCTGTTACTGTTTTCAACTAAAACAGAAAGGTCAGCTTTGCAACCCATTTTCTCAATGTCTCTGGTTAATTTCACAGAAAAGTGGAATATAGTCTTAATATAGATTAGATATGAAATTAGACACTTAAGATAAGCAAGGTAAGCTAAAGCCTTTGGCCCTCCTCTGGGTAACTGCCTGTGCCAGTGGAAAGTGATTTATCAGGTGGCCTGGCTTTGTAAAACCGCAAAAATGTAACTGCCTGCAACAGCCCAACAAGTGCCCAAGTAACACAGAGGAATATAAAGCATACAAGGTTAAACAAGGCTTGTTTTGAAAACCAACCTTCTCAGGAACATCAAGTCTTCTTACAAAGCACTCTACCTTTTTGGATTTAGATAGACAGCTTTATGGAAGCTACAGCCTTTGTTAAGCAGAACTTTAAATACAATGCATTTTAACAGTCTAGTTCTCCCCCCCCCCGTGCCCAAGATATGATTAAACACTTAAAGCCAGCAAAATATCATCCTTTCAACATTCATTTCAGACATCCTAAGTAAATTACTGTAATCGGACAGGACTCTCAAAGGAAGGCATCAGATATTTGCACAAGAGTTGGCAATAAAGGCCATGAATAATGCAGGACAAGTACAAGAATGAAAAATTACCTCTGCCAAGATGACTACATCATCGTCATCTTCCTCATGCTGCTGCTCTGCTGGCATTTCCTGCAACAAAGGTAATTCTTCATCCGATGAATCTGATATCATGATAAGACTTTCGTCCCTGCGGTTTATCCAGTCTGTAGTAAAGTAAGTAAAGTTAGTTATTTGCTCAAGGTAAATAACTGAAATTACAGGGCAGAATCACTGAAACATCTGAAAAAGCAATCTTCACATTTGCATTGCAGTAACAGGGAAGAAGCGCTCAAAGGTCACTGGTTCCTCCGCGAGTTACTGTTAACAGCCACTCCTACACCCCTCGGCCCTCTGAGCAAAACACCTGCACAAACTATAGCTCACCACAACAGTCCATGCATGAAACGGTCACTCTGACACTTATGTGGAGATTCCTCTATCCCAAACTTCATCACGAGTCAAACTGCTGCAAAAATTATTCTGAACAAGCCACTTACAGAATGCTTCCTAATTTTTGCAGAGACGTCCTGAACTTTCAGTATCTCGGAGGCAATGCATTTTATTGATGCACAGTGCATTCTAGAGGAGAGATAAGGTTCCCTGGGCAATTCGGCCTCTTATGCAAGACTGAGATAGGGCCCTTGGCTGTGGGTACAGAAGATATCCTGCTATTAGATGACAACCTTGTCCCTCAAGGTCTGTCAAGAGTGGAATATAGATGCTACTGAACACAGCTGCTGGAACACAGGAGACACACTCAAGCCAGAAAGTGAGGGTTTCTGTACTGAGGAGACAGCATACAACCATGCTTTCCCTACAATTTGACATGACATTCTGTCTTTAGCATGAGTATCTGTTTATTATCTTTCAGGTATACACAGAAAGTAGCATTTTGAATGCCACTCTTGGAAGGAGCCAATGCACACAGCCCTGTGAGGGTACGACTGCAGAGCCACCCTCTCTCCTATGAGGTCCTTAGAAGGGTGGAACACTGGAAGCCCCTCAGATCTGCTGAAATACGTCTCCATGGTGTTCCCAAGAAGTCTGCAATCTGCCTTAAGGCCATGCAACATGAGAAAGACAAGAGCCAAGTATTTTGCAGGTCTGTATAAAATGAGAGAATTTTCTGTAGGTAGCTGTGAAGTAACAGAGCAGCGTAAGGCATGACAAAACGGAGCACTAGCAGGTTCCCATTAACAGCACTCTTGCAAGTTTAGTATCTACGAATCCTGCTGCTTGTAAGCACTTTTACAAAGAAACTTCTAGAAATATGCACAAATCAGTACTCACCTTTCCCTCTGTGACTACGGAAGCTGTTCAACTTAATTACTTCTTCCTTTCCACCTCTCTCTGCCATTTTAAATAGCTGTACCTGAAAGTGTCAATGTTTGGGCATGACAGTCAGGCTTGTGTGAGGAACTAGAAGACAAAAACAGGAGAGAGTAAGGCAAACTCAGCAGCACCCTAACCAGGCTTTCCCAAGACTAAGCCGCTAGATCGTTTTGGGGGTTCTCCTGGCTCTCCCAGCACAGTCTCTTCATGACGATACTTTTCTGTACCACCTTCTCAGTGCCTAGAAGCAGATATGTTTGTTTTCTTCTGACAGTTATGACAGCTGACTGAAGAGTGCAGTCAGGCCCAAGAAGCCTCCCCGGAGAAGACACGAAGACACTTATAGCTATGCGATCACTGAAAAGGGCAGGGCGGGGGAGAAGATGTAATTCTGTCCAGCCAGGACTCAAACCCTCCCCATATGTGGATCTTCTTCCGCTTCCAAGACGTCAAAAACCTCATGCATCAACTCCCATAGGGGTGTTTCTGCCACCATCTACTGGTGAGAGGAGCAAAAGCCGCTTGCCTGAGCTGCCACAGGGCAACACCACCTAAGCCTGCATCTCAAATGTGCCAGCTGATGGCATTACAGCCATCCCCTATCGCACTTAATGCCACGAAGTCATACTACACCCAAGCACCGCAGAAACGCTAGCACCGAGGGGAACAGCCAGTTATTATGGGTATCAGACCTGACAGCCTAGCTGCTGAGGAGCTGAACCGGGAAGTGAGACACATTGGTGAAACCCAGACACCAGCATCACGCCCTGAATTCCCCTGTGTGCCGCCAAGTTGAGGTGCAGCTTCAGAGGGACCAGGGGTGCTCTGAGCTCACGTCCACGAAGCCCACGTTGTTGGCACGTCAGAAGGAAGGAAGCTGCATGCCTGGCAGGGCAGTATAAGCGAATGGTTTGTGTCGGCGCTGTGAACCGGCATGGGAACAAGTCACATCTACAGAGCACGCTTTCTTGCCACCATCTGCTATTTTAGAGACTTCCCTGATTTACAGCACATTCCCCCCCTCAATGAAGGTTTGGTGCAAATTCCAGGATACGCCACCTGCTTTCTAACTGAAAAGAGAGCATGACAGGGATCAGGTTCCTTCACAGGACTGAGCTTTTGGGACTAAAACTTGCTACCCCCACCTGTTCTGAGAGAGGCACAATGAGCCGGCTGGAGGCTCCCAAACAGGATTAGGAGGTCAGAGGAATCACTGCAACCTGAATAGTAGGTTTCCATTTTATACTCTGTCAACTTAGAGCCCTCAATTCCCGCTATCACAGAGCAGCTGAATACATACAGGAACTCCAAGCACAATTTGATCACTGGAATGAGAAAGGAGGTCTTTTTATTGAGAAGTATTCATCTCACTATTAGAGCACGGAGAAATCTGTATATTATTAAATATTTACTGATGTATAAGCTTGAAGAAGATGATGGGTCTGCTGTAAAATCCTGTTTGCTAGTACACAAGAGCAGTATAAATTCCTCCTCAATAATTCTACTTAACCTCCTCTGCCAGGAACAGGATTTGCAGCTAGGACTGCAAAATGAAGAAATCTGTTCAGATGCCTCCTATGTACTGGTATCTATACCCCCCTACCCCTCCCATAAGGAACTAGTTGTTACCATCTTCAAAATAATTTAATACAGGACAAAATAATAGAAATTTTAAAAATATAATTTAGCACTTAAAAAAGCCAAAACCCAAATGTCACTTGACAGAAAGCACACGCTGCACGGCAGCACAGAGTCAGCTGGCCTTGGGCAGGAACTGATCCTCCTCTTAAAGAACAGCCTGCACAGACACAGCCCGCAGTCTCGCACCATAGGCAGTGGGATAAATGAGCAAGGCAGCAGCATCTTCCCTGTTTGCAGGGCAGGACACTTGCTTAACACACACAAAGGGTGCCAGCAGCACAGCTTAGTGCCTGAAACAGCCTCCTCTAGTGGGAACCTCCACCATAATGGTTTTCAAGGCTGGACTACAAACTGCCATGCTCATCTGGTCCCAGCACTGGTGATGGTTCGTATTTGAGGGGGACATTGGGCTAGGGAACTGCAGAGGCTTCTCCTAACCAGTATTACTACAAATATGCAACTACCTCTATATTTGAGCCCTGAAACCTCAGCAGAATACCATATTTCCAGTGAGCAACTTCAAGAATACCATGGGCATACTGATGGTTTGAAAACGCTTCAAAAGCAGGATTCTGGGGAGTGTTTCCACTAGGTTCTTCAGCTTGTGCCCTACAAACAAAGAGAAATAAACCTTATTTTATTTGCCAGAATGGCACAAAAGCACTGTTCTCATCATTGCAGACAGGTGCAGGAGCAGCAGCTCAGTAGCTGCGTCACTGAAAACCCTGTCTTTTTTAAAAGGTCACATCCACATTATTATTGTTGCATTTTCCCTGGTATTCATGAATAGCTACCACCTAGTCCCATATAGCATTTTTTCATCCTTAGCCCTTTCAGTACTTTACAAAACAAGATCTACACGCTTCTTTCCATTTAGAAGATGGAGAAATGGAAGCACAGAAAAGACGAGTGTGGCCAAGGCCACCAAGCAGGCTAGTAACAAAGCCAGGAGCAGCACCCAGGCCTCTTCAGCTCACATACCCATGCCAATCACTTCTGCTTCCCAGCAGGTTGGTCCTGCAAAGCACTCCTTGCAACAACCAACAGCCCCTGCGCAGCCAGCACCTGCCTCATGTCAGCTGCCTGCACACAGGCTCACGCTCAACAAAGGAACCTCCTGGCAGCCAAAAACAGGGAAGGATTGCTCCAAGGCTGGCTGGGGAAGAACAAGGACGTTTGTGAAAGCCACAAATCGACCCTCGCAGCATCAAGCGGCACCGACAGAGGCCAGACAGGTATTTGCTCAGATTTACTCTGAGCAAAGTTAAGTGGCTTGGACATTTCTCCCCTACGGGGACAGGCAATGTGTTAGCTGAGTTGGGTACGCGTGTATGCACAGGTGGGTCAACAACGATCGGCACAGACACTGAAAAAAATCTTTTTACAAATAGTTCAACTGGTGCTTTGTCCAATGCTGGCTAAACCACAGCTGTTCATATCCAAGAACAAGGGATAAGCCACAAGACTAACATGACTATTCTCTATAGGCAATTCTGTTTCCCGTAGAGAGGATCTTGCCCACTTCAACCTTGAGAATCAAGAAAGAGGTACAGGAAATAACCTGAAATGAAATTTGGAATACAAACCATCTACCCCCTGTACAAGAGAAAAATACGCACATGTCACCAAAAGACTCATGGTGGTTTAAAAGCAGGAATATAATAAGCAGCATTAACTGTAGTATACAGTGAAGGCAAAGAAAAAAAGTAAAGCCTGGAAAGAACTGGCAAAGTACCACTTCTTTTTTATTTCAAAACAGACTGCATAAAAACCTAGGTAGCTTAATAAAGCACTGCTTTGAGGGTAAAAGCAAGCTTCCACTGAGAGCTAGCAATTCATGTTGTCAATACTCAATGCAGAGCTCAAGTTTAAACAAATACCTATAAGCATAGGCCAGTTCCATCTAGTGGCATGAATAAGAAGTTTATTCATGTTTATAGCACTAGGCCGCCGAGAACGTGAAGTAACAAGATCAAAGCCACCCTAGGGTCTTGCCCTACATAAACAACATAATAAAAAGCAAGCAAGACAGATGGAAAGAAGCTATCCCACACTACCTCAGCATTTTCAGCACTAATAGGTAAAAAATAAGGCCACCTATAACCAAGCTCTAACATGACCATCAGCTTTTTTGCAATGCAGTCAAGGACAGGATACTAGAAGCGTTTTAAAAGAAAAAGATCTGGCAGCAGACAGATATGCACTTTGCAAGCTTTTTTTTCTTTTTTTTTTCCCCCTTTTTTCTTAAACACTCCCACCTGCACTATAGCGCACAAACTGGACTTGGAACTTGAATCCCAATATAGTATCAGGGCAACACAAACCCCTTGTCATGACTGCAAAGCCACCCCAAAACAGCACGGTGAAGACTGCCATGCGGAAGATGCGGTTCCACCCAATCTCTCCTCCGCCTTCCACATTACTCTGTGTATTCATGACAGCACAGGCAATAAAATCCTTCCCATGAAAGTTTTTCCTACAGCAACTCGAGAGGAGAACCACCCATTAACAGAACAGCTACCGGAAAAATCAGAGACCATCAGGGACTTACGTATAACTGTTTTCTGAACTGATTAGATCTCAGACCGACAGTTGAAGTCGTATGTATTTCCCAAACAAGCTTCTCATACATGTAAAAATCTAATCTACAAAACCACTGGTCCCAACCACTACTATGAGTTGACAGATCAGATGCTAAGAGGTGAAGCACATCTCAGGTGCACACAGAATGCTTACACAAAGATTTCCAAAACCCATTCAAGAATCCCTGTAAACATCACATTACATATTTTTAGCCTAACCTAAAAATAGCACACATTGGTACTGTGCATATATTTAAACTCTTGGTATATGCAGTCATTTCTGGACTGCAGTAATTGGAACAGAACTCAAATCCGTTCCCTCCACCTCACAGCTGTGCTGCAATGAACATCTTCACACCGTGTTGGAATTTGAAGAGGGAGATCTCCCCCTCCTAGACACAATGTACTTCCCTCCCCAGCCCCCCTTGCATTTACAACATTTGAAATCTTGAACTCCCACATACCCAAGACAGGCCTAGACTCAAAGAGCTCTTTTCTGGCTCTAGCTCAAGGCAACAGGACTAGACAGAAAGCACTGCAGGGGAGGTTAGAATTGAAATCCCAACCGAATGCGGGGCCAGGGAGGGGAAGCGCAGCTTGAAAGAGATGTCAGCAACATCAAATCGTTTGTTTTAGCCTCTCCCCCATACAGCAACACCACTGTTGCTCACCTACATTGACAGAAGAGCATCAACTCCTACTTTGTGCCTGCGGGCAGCAAACATGTCTGCTGGTAGCCTGCAAGCAAGGTGAATTTCTGCCTTATTGCAAGCTGCTAAAACAAAGAGAAGCTGCTTAAATAATGCATGGCTTGTGACAACCAGCAAAATGAAAAGCTAAAAATTCAGCCCTTAAAAAAAAGAA